TTACTAGTAAGGCTAGCAGCGTGAATAAATGAGTAGGCTGTAAGCAATGCTCAGGCATACCTGTTCATACATTCGCAACAATAATAAAGATACAATGATATAGATAAGTTGTTGTTTTACGGATGACTCAGTTCGTTAATTAGTTAACAAAATGACTTGATCGAATTAAACGTGAACAAACTAAATTGCTATAACTTCCTCGGCTCCTCTGGTGTAGTGTAATAAACGTGGCGCTCAGTGAATTTTAAGTACAAATTTAGAAATATATCACGAGCCATTTCAATGAGGCTTTCTCGATCTATTATCCAATCTACTGTGGGTTCTGCGTAGGCAACATGATTTATATTTACTTTGCAGACGACTGTGCTAGGACAGGCAGACGCATTCTCGTTCCCGACAACTTTGTGGAAGTCAAAGATCAAAACTGCATCAGCATAACCACAATGAAGCGGAATACAACTGAAGTACGTGATGCCGTCATTATAATGGCTCAATATGAGATCTATTAAGGATGATTCGCTGTCCGATTCGTACCTAGTTCCTTCTTTCACATGTTACACTAAGGCACATGTGATAACCGCAACAATTAGTTTCTTTTCGAAGGAATTTTTCAACAACTCAGTCTTCAGATTTATCCGGCCTACCGTGTGTGCATCCAAGACTCCTAAGACTGGACATTGAACAATTGATGACTAGGTGTTGAAACTGTCTAGCAAGACCTAATCCATCTCATAGTTTGGACTGTGGTAGATCAAATTAATCAACAGCTATTGTCCTTTGCATTTCAGGTGGTAACCAACAAGTTTACACGTCTCACTTTCATGAGATGTGTTATCAATAGAGGTAAATGGGATTGGATTTCAATGAATAGAGCTAGTCCTCCTCATTTACACCTCTGGGTTCTGTTGACTCTTACTAATGTGGAACTTTCAACATCAAGCTTCCTAATTTCTACAGACAGCATCAACCAAGTTTCTGTGACAGAGATTACATCCGGCTTGGTGGAGTCTATCTGCATGCCTAGCTCCAACCGCTTGTTGAACAAGCTCTGGGTATTTGTGTAACGGATCCGAAGAATATTAGAATGATTTTGTGCTACACCCACAGTGGCTTCGGCATCATTCTCCATGGAAGTCTCACCACCCAAAGATTTACAATTTTAAGGTCCTTGTCTCCAGCATCCAACCTTAGTTTCAGTTTTCTTTCAGCTTCTTGTCTTTTTATACGGTCTGCGGGCGGCAAGACCTTACGGACAAAATACTCCTGACTCCTTTATCTTATGCCCATTCTGTAGTGTTAAGTTCTTTTCGTTGGGAGATTTCAATACTACGTTAAGCAGCCCGGTTTGATTCTGCTTCAAGTCTATTTGGCTACCTAATCCTTAAACCATTAGCAAGGTGACTCCAGAGATATGCTGAAGCGTTAGTTAATTCAGTAGCTTTTTAATCAACTCAGTGCCATGCTCAAAACGAGTTCTGGGTTCCAAGCTTTTATGCTTCTTGACCTTATGAAAGACAACTGACCTGACACTGCGGTCGGTCGTCAATTTCTCATCTACGTATTTTTTGGGGGGGAGGTTAGCTTTTCTTCAAGGATATCATATCGTTTCTTATTCTGGACCTGTACCCATTCATCAACTTTAGTTGGAGTAGCAACCACAGTCGCGTCAAACACACTGTGGGATTCCGGATAATTTTCGAGGACTTGGTTGGTCAGGTTGGTTTTCCTGCTAAAAACAGATTTAACCTTGTGATTATGTTTTTAGGCGCTTTCTGCTGGCGGGCGACAGGATGAACTTCCTTTCCTGAGCTTTTATTTCGGACAGGCCTCTTTGGAGTCGGTTTTCCCTCCACTGATCCATGTAGGTCAATCGATACTGAGCTCATTTGAGGTGATTTCATATCGATTTGTGCATCAATTGAGCGAGTGTTGTCTGGTGTGTGTGCTGATACTCCTTTTAGCAGCATTTACCACCTAAGTGGCTACAGATAGCAAGCTGTCTGTGTTTGTGCAGCATTGCTGATGAAACCATATACAACCATTTTTACTAAACCATTGGAAAGCCACAGGCGTTAGATTCGTGCAGACGTCGTTGTACCATATTTTGTACTCGTCGTCTGGACGTTGTCAATTACTTATTTTGGACTGCTCAGCCACCAAACAGAGGTTTTCAAAAAGAAACTAGATACAATAGTGCCCAGAGGCAATAGAAACTGATGGCCAGATAAAATGGTGGAAAACTGTAAAGTGTTAGTACCGAAAGAGCTTGTAGCGTGATGTCGATTCGCGGTAGACTATGAACACCGCTACAGAGAGACACGTGCCAAATAAATCCATAAAATCTCTCTGAAGCTAAATATTAGAAGGCAGTTGATGGACCAAGTTGATATATATTTGCTGGCGATCTCGTGGTATCTAAAGAATACCGAGATCGTGCCAGGATAGAAGCTTGGTTGCAAATCGTAACAGAATTCGCGCGAGGTCATAATCAAAGTGTGTATAATGGAAGAATAAAATAGCTGTCATTAGCACAACTAAACAAAGAGCACATTAAACAAGCACAGGTACAAATGCTTATAATAATAATTGTTTTCATTAAACCAATTGTGTTCTAGTGATAAAAAAGAGTCACTACAGGAGCCCCCCGCTAGAAAGGGTTTACACTTTTGATAAATAGCGGTTTGGTTCGTGGGACTGATCGGCTGACGAGCGATTGTAGGACGAAAGAATTGGCGAAACAGGAAAGCGATTATTGATCGTCGAGTTGCCAACGAAGGTCTTTTTCGGAGAACGGTACCAGGAGTAATGTGCTGTATTTGTTGCTCGAGTTGGCATACCACACCAGAGTGGTTTTTTATCCAGGATCTGAAGATTGTGTTCGTAGGGGTCCGGACCAGAAAACGCTGCAGAAGTAGGACGAAACCACGTTGAGCCGAGGAACCAGAAGCGACCATAACGACCATGTTCGAGATCAAGCGTATGCCAGATATTCGGAACCAGAATATCGACTGAGTGCGTTGACAAGAGCGTGGGTGATCAGGCCAGCTTTCGCCAAAGTTGACTGAAGTCGACGGCACCAAACGGGGATAATCGGAGGCATGGGCTCAGGAAGCAAAAAGAAAATCAAAAACGGAAGAGTGTAGCATGCATGTAATACAGGAATAATCCTACACCCTATCGGTTGTTGACTGTGCGACAGATCGCGGAAGCGTACGGGTAACCGTTTTCGGCGATCGGAACGTGAGACGGCAGCCTCGTTCGCGTCGCGTGAGCCTGCAATCTCATTCGAAGTCAAGGGCGGAGTGGCCTGCTGATCTGGACGTGAGACTGTCATCTCGTCCGTAGACGGTGCAGATGACGCGTGCTGTTGACTGGGACGTGAGAGTGAGGTCTCAGGTGTATCTAGCGTGGGACCTGAAGATGGTTTGAGGATCCCGCTAGTAGGTTTGATAGGTCTAGCATTGAGTCTCAGGTTATCGGATAGGGCACTGTCATCGACGTGTGCTGGTTTGAGACGATTAATTCTGACGATCTCGACGCGGCCGTGTCAATCAACCTTGAAGGTCTTTTCGTGACGAGCGATCACGTGAAAAGGGCCTTCGTAAGGCTGTTGCAAAGGTTTGCTTACCGAATCTACTCGTGTGAAAAGATGTGAACAGGTAGATAACTCTCGAGGGAGAGCGACGTGTCGATGTTGTATTCGAGTTGACACCGGAGACAGCGTTCGCGTAAATGCAGACAGTCGATGGACGTAGTTTGATTTACCGAAATTAGGTCTGCTCCGTGGTGTGAAGAATTCTCCGGGCAGACGCAATGTCGTGCAGTAACCAGTTCAAGGGCGGAACATTGTATATCTGCCTTCAAGCTCGTTCGAATACCTAAGAGGACGAGCGATAAGGTTTCGTACCAGTTGTCGTTCTCGTGTGCTCGTAGAGCACTTTTAAGTTGGCAATGAAACCGTTCAACTTAACCATTTGATGCTGGGAGGTAGACGTTAATGCGTATGCGAATGCATTCCGTACCAAGCAGCCGGGTCAGCGAGGAGAATAGTTAATAGGGTAACATTTCTCGAATAAAGCGTGGAATTCATCGTCACGCGAGTAAAAATTAACAAGAGTTCGGTACACATAAATGGGAGTCTGTTATATTAATACTATTCTTATCGTTATCCGTCATGTCGAGTATATTATATATTAAAAAATATGAAAATATACGACAGACGTGGATAGATAAATCATAGACTCACCGAATTGGCTTCTTTGGAAGATTTGACCAGAGGTTGAGGCGTGTTCCAAAATACGGGTCACCAATTGTAGCGTGGCGTCGAGTTGAGATTAACTATGAACACCGCTACCAAGAAACACGTGCCAAATAAATCAGAAGGCGGATTGGAATCAAGTTTATTCAACTGGCGGTCTCGTGGTATCGAACGAATACCAAGATCGTGCCAAGAAATGGTACAAGCGAAAGCAGGAGAAAACAGTACGTGCGAACAGTGCCAAAAACCGCGGAACAATGATGGAAGGTAATGGAAGCACAAAATGGCTGTGATTAGCACAGTGAAACAAAAGCACATTAAAACAAGCACTGGTACAGTTGGCTATAATAATAATTGTTTTCATTAAACCAGTCATGTTCTCGTGATAAAAGCAAGTCACTACAAGCTAATAGATACAATAGAAAAGATGTACACATAAGTGCCGACGATAAACTACTTTGGAAACAAAAACGATACTCTTAGCGAATGCTTTAACTGAAATAAATTCAATTAAAGTGAAGACAGTTTTCTTGACATGAATTAAGAAATGAAATCTATAAAATTAAAAATACTGCTGTTACTTTTAAATGGTGCGCGTAAGTTTCGTTAACTTGTGTAGTCAAATTTTAGGTTTAAGTGCATCATCAGCTCGCTGTTCAATTGAAGAATTCTCGGTCGATTATCTTTCTGTTCTTGAAATTGATAACTCGGCACGTTCGCGGGGTATACAACACCAGCGTTACGTGAATCCACGCTTATGGATGACGTGCAGATTGTAAACGGCGTTGAATATGAGAGTGAAACAGATAGTTTATCAGTCGGTGAGTGTATTGACTCTGATGGATTGTTCATGAGTCATATCGAATGGGTACAAAATCAAAGGAAAAAACACTTTGAATTGCCTGAAACTGTCAATGTTATTGAATGTGAGAATCAATGCAAGGTGTATTTAATCGGGACTGCACATTTCAGTGAAGAAAGTATTGCTGACGTCAAAAAGGTATTAATTTCTTCGATCATTATTTGTTAGGTTATGGAACAAGTACATCCTGATATCGTTATGCTGGAACTCTGTGCTAATCGAAGTCATACTTTGACAATGGACGAAGAAAATATCAAAAAGCAACTTAGGGACATTAATATAACGTCGATCATTCGAAAGGTAGGTAATGGTCAATGCCGTCATCGAAATCGTTTGAACATTTTGTAAGCTTTTATGTTACGTAACACTAAGCTGTGTACGTAGCTTAATCCGCCACCCAATACTATATATCTAGGCTTAATCTATTCTCAGATTTTATTGCTTTCAATCAAGCTGTTATATGCATTGCTAACCACTGTACAGCTCGGTCAACCAATAATTATTGGATTAATCCATTCTGATGGTAAATATTTGGTCGTAACTCACAGGCAGACACGGACATTGAGAATAAATGATATTCATAAGTTACTAGTAACCAGTCATAGGCTCCTTCAAAGCGTCGTCCCCGTATTTCGAAGCCGCCGACCGAGCAATGCCTTGGCTAGGGATAGGGTACTGGGTAGAGATGAAAAGTCGATTGGTAAGGTATTAAACCCCTATCGGTTGGGAAAACTAAACATGTGTTACGAATGCCCAACCATGGCCCACCTCGGCAGGCCGTGTTCTCTGGTGAAGAGTTAGGTTGAGGAAAAGCTGGTGGCAGCCAAACTGAAATATGACAGTTCTTAAAGTCATTGACAAATGGGGCCATTCCATATTAATATGTAGACTACCCGTTTGTGTTCCTTGTGGTTATCTTAACCAATGATTGAAGACTTTGAATGGAACAGCTCAAAATTGCCTACAATGACGTAGGAGCATCCATTTTTCCTTTGCCTTATGATCCTAATTCTCGAAATTTCTCATTATCTTTATATTTCATTAATCTACATTTTACTGAATAATATCGATGCCTAATCTTTCCTATTACCACTTATACTACTACTGTGGGATTCGCCTCAACAATTTCATCTCGGTGTGCTAATGGGGTATGGCAACTTGGACCGATGTACATACGTACCAGGTTCTGCTTTGTGGCTTACCGAGGCAGGCACATCAACATAGAATCTGTCACAGATGTGCCTAGACCCAAGTTTGTTTATCACAAAATGGAAATAACGTATTAGAAACGATAACAAGAAGAATTAAACACCGCGAATATGATTCGGAAAGTCAACATGAATAGGTGTGCACGTAAGGATACCGGTATTCCTAATCAGTGATCAGGACACCAACCAGTTAGTTTGAATTTACCAACGTGCATTACACCCACAGTTAATGTCTCTCTTTGGCTACCTAACTTTATTTGACCAAACGTGGTCAAATAATCAGTGCTCTCGGTTGTATGTACTACGACTTCTATGCAACTCAGTAGTCATAGTGTCCACTACATCGTATGTTAACTGTCTAAAACCACACGTCACAGAAAGCAAACATGGAAATTCTAATGTAAAACCCAATTGTTAACAGTTGAGTAGTTAAATCGTCAGACTTCTGCCCCTTCAGATAAGCATTGTTCTTATTGATTTCGCGTTACTAGCAAATAAAGAATGAAGAGGTTAACCTTGTGTATACCAAATCTTCGTACCCATAAAAGTTTGCTGCCTGAAATGAAACCTAGCAACTAACAAAGTAACTTAACAAAGCGAATCAAATGTTAACCACCAGCCTATAAATGCCTTCAAGACGATTTGCAATAAACTGTGCACCTTTCCAAGTTGATAATAATATCAAAATTAATTCATCGCCACTATAAGTCACTATAGGTCTAAGTTTGAATAGTAAGCAATTATTTAATACTTACAGTAAGAGCTCAAAGTGTCTTAATTTGAAATATCACTCTTCATATTCCCAGTTTTGAATATAGTATCAGTCCATACTTTTTATCCCCCGGACTTATTCGTCATTTCTATTTGATTTTCAACCTTTTAACTTCATCATATCGTTTGCATTATTTACTTCAGCGTAAAGCAAGACTACATAATCTGATAAATTCTTGTTAGGTCCTCCATCTACATGTATGGTTTTCTCAGCGTTTTCTACACTGTTGTGACGTTTATTTATGTATTATTTAAATTTGTTTTATTTTTACCCAGCATGGTGTCAGTTCAGGCGTTTTACACTATCTCTTGCTTCGACTAAGTGGTTATTTAGTTGATACTCTTGGAATGGCACCTGGTGGAGAGTTCAGAGCCGCCGCCAAAGAGGTAAGATAGATATGTAGGCTTGTAACAAATTATTGTCATACATTAAACTCCCTACTTCTTAGTATTTAACACTGACATGCTTCAGTAAAATGTTTGTTACTCTGAAGTTGTCCATCTAGTGATAATCAGTCATTCTAATGTGTTTATTTATACTGACTACTTTTATCATGATACACGTTTAGTGGTATTTATTTACTAGGAAATTTTTTTTTGTTTTATGCCATACATTTTGTACATTTGTTTTGATGTACCGTATAGGCGATGAAGCAGCCTCACTGTCACGTTGTTCTAGGAGACCGTCCTGTAAACATTACACTTTATAGAGCTTTGGAGGCGTTGGGTCCATGGACTAAGCTCAAGTTTTTTGTTGCTCTTCTCTTCAGTTTCCAACCCATTACGTAAGTAATTGCTGATAAATTTACTATGCTGTATAATTTTGTCAGTGAGTAACTTCAACACTGAGTTTTTGTTTGGATACTGAAGTTATTTTATATATCATAAGTTGTTGTACTTTCTCTCGTTAGATGTAATTGTTCTGTAAGCAGTGTTTTCCAAACTTTTCTTTCCTATTCTAGTCACTGAACACAAACGTTTCTACTAAAATGTAACAGTTCCCCGAGTTTCTAACCATTCTAGCACTCCACTATTAGGGTCAATGACTTGTAGCTCAGTTAGTGAGAACTATCCAGTTCAGTTGAGAAGCATCTTGGTTTTTTTTCTTATCTATTGATCTTTATTTGTGTAATACATCTAATTTTAGTAGTGTCCCACAGCTTTCCATTACAGTAAAATTTATTGTGATACTGTAATTTCTTTCCTATTAGGAAAGAACAAATTGAGGAGATGAAAAAAACAGATTTTCTGGAAAAACTGTTAGTTTCCATGGCTGGCGAACACCCTGAACTAACAAGGATATTATTAGATGAACGAGATCAATATCTAGCTCGTTCCATTTGGGAGGCTACTGGAATGGAAGAATATTTAAAAGCACAAACACTAAAGCCGGATTTTACTTCTGAGATACACAATCCGTCAAATATTGAAGAGTCTGTTGTGCAACACCGTAAAAATATTGATCAGTCTAATGACTATTCACCAGATGGAATTGCTCACAGTTCTGGACGAGATAATTCCTTTAATGATCCCTCTCCTCCGCACCTGAGTTGTTGTTCGCACTGGCCACCGACCAGTATATTGCCAAGAGTTGTTGTCGCTGTTGTCGGAATAGGTCATGTGGCTGGGATCCGCAAAGTCTGGTCAACAGTTGACACAATTAAAAAACATGAATTATGCGTGTAAGTGAAAATTGTGTACCCAATATTTAACAGATTAATGAATGTTCATAAATTTCTTACAATGAAATAACATTACATTTCTAAAGCTTTCAACTATTGACTTTTCAGTTAAATTGTCCACCAACTTCATGTTTTATTACTCACCATTATTTTCTAAAGTATTTCATTAATATGTCTCAATTTTATACATATGGTTGCTGAAGCCTAGTTGTGCTTCATTTGCTTGTAGCTGCGCTTAGATTGATGTATTTTTATTATCAAAGCCTACCACTTTTACTGATGTAATTTTCAAAACAGGTTATCACAGCTGATCTTCTTGAAACTGGCGATATTAAACCGCTGTTTTTTTAGTTTAAAGCTTCCAGGATTACATCTAAAACTGATTGTTCCCTCAATAAACACCGCTATTCAAAGACAAAATCAACAGTCCACAGCTTCAAATAGTTTGCAACATAGTTGGATCACCGTTCAATGCAAGTAGTGAGCATTTATTCTTCTCCCGACTTGATTTTCTGTTTGTTTTGCGGCTTACCACTAAAATAACTCGCACCGCACGTTCTTTTTATTGTTGGTTTTCATGCCTGTACATTTCCAAGGAACCCTTACAATCTTCCTTTAATAACCACAGGAATCAGTTCAATTAATAGTGTATAAGATATCTTCACTAATCATCCTACGCTTATCTGGAGCTTAGGAGAATTAGACTTTTCAGAACTGAGCATGATTATATCGACCAACTTTTCATCCTTCATTAGTTTACCCACCGAGTATCAATGCAAACATATTTGGACTGATTTTATCTCCTTCGGGATCTGAATCGAAAACATTACTGCTGGACTGCTGTACATCATTGTCTAGATTACTCTACATTAACCACCCACTTATCATAGAAGCCCTATTGGCCCTTTTAGTTTGGTATTTGGTGAGATCCCATGTAGAAAACGTATACTGCGTAGCAATACACTCCATGTTACCATAAATCTGTGAAACATGCTCTATGAAAGACTTGTAAGCCGCAGGTTTATGACGATAAGTGTCTTTGAATTATTGCTGTTGTACCGTGGAACAACCGAGTAAGCTATGTTGAAGCTAGACGCAGCATACTAAGCAAAGCTGGAAAATCGGTTGATGAAGAGGTGGATCTACATAGACTGAGGCGGCTGAAAAATGTTACTATCCCGAACCACCACCATATATATTGAACTTCAATTGTGGCTAGCCTAAGAATACGTTGTACGATAGCCAAGGGCAGGGAAACTGAAGCGGTTGACCAGTGCGCAAATTGATTTTAGGTTGGTCTGACCTATTCCAATAGATGTAGACGACCCGTTTGGGTTTGATTAATTTTTTCAACCAGGGATTGGAAAAGTGTAGTGACGTAACTCGGAATCGGACGCAATAATGTAGATGCATTCACTGTTTACTTCCCTTTAAATGTTTGCTCCTTATATATATATATATATATATATATATATATATATATATATATATATATATATATATAGTACTTCTGAATTGTCAGTTATTCTTTGCTTTACATCAGCTTACGATGATGAAAGTTTTGAAACATTTTCAAAATTTATGGTCTGTCAGTTCAAGTTGTTTTTAAAGCTTTTTATGATGACTTTCGTTTGTTAATGAAAGTTTTTAACATGTATTACGTTCATTTATTCTTTTTTGTAGACTACTTGAACCTCCTCTTTCCTGGCGCATATTTAAGTGGTCGTTGCGAGGAGTTTTAGTTTCTTTAGTTGTTGGAGTTGTTTATGGTGCGTGTCGGTGTTCATATATTTTTGGTTCTTTTGTTTATAATCGACTTTTGTAAATAATTGCTTGTAAAGCTTATGCACTAAGCCTGAACTGTGATTTAGTTTTGTCCTACTCTTGTTGTCCACTTAATCCTTTGTATACTCTAAGATCAATATTCTGTTGTATATTTTTCTTTGGACTAGGTTTTTTCGATTCCTTTTAAACACATGTTTTCCATTTCGGCTGATCTGTTAATTATACATGTGTGTTCTAAAATGTACTCTGTTAGTACCACTTATTGATTCAGTATTTAGTTCTCACCTTGTTATAAGAAAGTTAGTCAACGATGGGTGGCTTGTAATAATCATTTGAAGGCAATTAAAAAAGCTGCTAAACCTAATTAAATATGTCCACTTTGTTCATTCATTTAGTATGTATATACAGTACGCGTAACTTGGATTTAAAATAAATTATTCGATCGGGTAAGATTTAGTCAAACGACTCATTTAAAAAAGACTAGCAAAGTTGGATGGGTGAACCTTAACAAACATCTTAATAAAAATCAAACTGATTAGATTGCTAAATGAGTTGTAGATCCTGAATATATGTCGAATGAATAGTACGTTTTCTCTTTCACGTCTGCCTTTCCTTTAGATAGTCAGTCAGTAACAACGTAGAACTTCGTACGTACGTACATCAGTTCGAGTTGCCACACCACATTAGCACAGAGATGCAGTGATCGATTCAAATTCCGTAATGCTAGATGTAGTGAAATAATAAGTTGTAATCAGAAAAACTAGGGTTTGGAGATGTTATTCAGGGAGTATAATCCAGTGAAATAAATTTGGAAAGAGAAAAAAGAAAGGGACATGAAAAATTCAGGAGATTAGAATTTGGGAGAACACAAAGAGTGGATACACTTGCGCCATTGCAAACGATTTTGAGCCATGTCATTCAGGGTCTCTAACCATCGGTTGCTATCATCTCGTGGTCCCCAACCAGGTAGTCTACACCTACCAACATGACTCAGTCCACTTGTCAGTGACTTCATGGACTTGTGCCATGTTTTGGTTTGGCCGCCTCTAGCTTTCTTCCAACCTACTCCTATACCACTGAACATAGCACGTCGAGGCAATCGGTAGCTGGGCGTACGTGACACGTGTCCCAGCCATCTCAACTGATGAAGTTTCACTACTTCATCAATTGATTTGCCATCCTTACCTAGTACCCGTTTCCTAACAACTGTGTTACTTACTCGATGGTCCCAGGATATTCGAGCAATGTTTCGAAGACACCTATGATCGAATACTAGTGACTTACGAATATCCTCTACTCTTACCGGCCACGTTTCACTGCCGTAAAGTAGGACGGAACGAACTGCTGCACAGTAAACACGTCCTTTGGTTGATAGACGGATATTTCACCTACGCCATAAATAAAGCAAGCTGGCAAAAGCTAGTCGAGCCTTCTGTATCCGTGCTGAGATTTCGTCACACACCAGACCACAAGGGCTGATGAGACTTCCAAGATAAGTGAAGCGGTCGACACGCTCAACTACTTCACTCTCTATCATTAGTTCGGGTGTCGATGCAACCCAATCCTGAAGCAACATTTTACATTTCGAGAGAGAGAATCGCATCCCGAACATGCTCGCATTGTTGCTTAGAGTGGTCAGAAGACTCTGCATTTGTCAGCGTCTTCACCAAATAAAACCATGTCATCAGCATATTCTAAGTCAACAAGTGAACCTCCCGGTAGAAGTTCAACCTCTGGAAATCTAGACGAGGAAAGTGTCATCTCTAAAAGCACGTCAATGACAAAGTTAAACAAGAATGGAGAGAGTGGACAGCCCTGACGAACACCACTTGAGGTAATCAGTTCTGATGACAGTTCACTATAAGCTCTCACTCGACCAGTTGTGTTCGAGTAAAGAGCCTTTACAAGGTTAATGTACTTCTTTGATACTCCTTTCAGTAACAAACACTGCCATAGAACCTCACGGTCAACAGAGTCGAATGCCCCCTTAAGGTCGAGAAATACTACCATTGTGGTGTCTGAATGTGTGTCTGTGTTCTAGAACCTGACGTAGTGTGAATATCTGATCTATACAACCACGTCCAGGTCGAAAACCAGCCTGATTTTCTCTAGTCTGCTCTTCACGAGCTTTAGTTAGGCGTCGAAGTATTATTGAAGCTAATATTTTAGATACTATATTTGTCAAACTGATTCCTCTGTGATTGTCACAAGAGGACTTTTGTCCTTTCTTATAGACTGGCACAATCAGTGATTGAGACCAGTCAGATGGGATTACGTCCAGTTCCCAAATTCTACCTAAGACCTCAGTTAGTAATTCTGTCAGGTGCTAGTCGGCATCCTTGATTCCGTAAGTTTGAAGATTCAGTAGGAGGGTGGTATTGGTAATAATGGTCTTTGTACTGGTAATTTAGTAAACGCTAAAGAGCAAACTCGTAGTGTCAACCTAACTGTCATTTCCTAAACACATTTAATGATACATATGTTATGTTAGTCATGATTCATAAGGTAAAGTTAGCATTGTGACGTACCTGTCATGTTTTAGAACTAGTTATGTAGTTAGCTTCTCGAATATCTCATTAGAAGCTGAAGTCACTTGGTATAATTTATCCCTTGAATAGAATTACTGGTAGTTTCGAAATACTTGTTATCAAGTGGTAATATGAATTTATGCAACCTGGGAATCGTTAGTATTTAATGGACGAATTATGTGGGATATATCATCTCATAAATTCTACTTTTAATGCAATACACCTTGCAGATTGTGTTTGTGTGGCCAGTGAGTTTCACATATTCTTTTCTTAACAAGCTTTAGGGTATTAATGGTAAGATCATGCTGAGATTATGGTTTGAAAATACTCTTGAAATGATCTGAAAGTAGATCCGAGCTATTTTTCCGAAAGCTAAAATCAAATAGCAGCAAAATATACATCTTATAATCCCAGTAAAACAGACTATTACGATGACGCACATAAGATGTGTTCCTATTTTAACACTGACAAGCCTCATATTTTGTCGTAAAACAAACGTTAGTTTGAGCAACCCAGAAGACATTCATTACTATTCGCTATACAGTAGTGGACGATCGGGTAATTTGATGATATGGTGACAGTACGTTCTCGTTGTAATAAAACTCAAGCTTGATTTAGCGTACACTAGTCTTAACTTGTAACTCCGCCTGTAGCTCTTATAGGGTTGCTGCCGGTCCCAAGCCCGGGTAAAGGAGGAGGGTTGGGCATGGGGTTAGCGTCCCCATCCCGTAGAAAACTAACTCGCTAAAAAAACGCTTACCAGAAAAAATAATCCAAACCATTTTAACTCTGCCCTGGGAGTTAGAAGGTCTTCATTTAGAAGAATTATGACGCTTCATGGTGAAAGCCGAGTTCCTTCGGAAGCTACGAGGCCGATGCCCCTTCTAACAACCAGAGCAAAAATTTTTATAGGTACATGGAACGTCCGAACAATGTGAGAGACCGGGAAGACCAGTCAAATAGCAATGGAAATGAGGAGATACAACTTGGCAGTACTAGGAATTAGGGAAACCCTGTGGACCCAAGCTGGACAACAAAGGCTAGATACGGGAGAGATGCTGCTATACTCCGGTCACGAAGAGGAAAATGCTCCACACACTCAGGGAGTTGCTCTAATGCTGTCCAAAGTAGCACGAAATGCACTTGTAGGATGGGAATCCCACGGATCCAGAATCATCAAAGCATCATTCAAAACAAAGAAGGAGGGGATCTTAATGAATATTATCCAATGTTATGCACCCACCAATGATAGCAACGACGACATTAAAGATCAATTCTACGAGCGGCTGCAGTCAATCATTGAGAAATGCTCAAGAAAGGACCTCACCATTCTGATGGGAGATCTAAATGCCAAGGTCGGAACAGACAACACTGGATATGAAGATATTATGGGACGACATGGACTGGGAGAAAGGAACGAAAATGGAGAAAGATTTGCAAATTTGTGTGCATTCAACAAATTAGTCATAGGAGGCACAATATTTCCACACAAACGTATACACAAGGCTACATGGATCTCACCGGACCACACTACAGAGAACCAGATAGACCATATTTGCATCAACAAAAAATTCCGAAGGACAATGGAAGATGTGAGAACCAGGAGAGGAGCTGACGTAGCTTCAGATCACCACCTAGTTGTAGCCAATTTGAAACTGAAGCTAAAAAAGAACTGGACAAGTGGACAAACAGCAATACAAAGGTTCAATACAGCCTTCCTTCGAGATACTGACAAACTCAATGAATTCAAGATAGCTCTCAACAACGGGTTCCAAGCCTTACAAGATCTACTGAAAGAAGAAGAAACTACTATGGAGGACAACTGGAAAAGCATCAAAGAAGCATTAACTTCAACGTGTCAAGAGGTTCTGGGCCTAAAGAAACAGCATCATAAGGAGTGGATCTCTATAGAAACTCTAGACAAGATCAAAGAAAGGAAGAACAAGAAGGCAGCAATTAACAACAGCCGAACACGAGCAGAGAAAGTTCAAGAACAAGCTGAATACTTAGAAGCAAACAAGCAAGTGAATAAGAGCATTAGAGCCGACAGGAAGAAATACGTGGAAGAATTAGCCACGACAGCGGAAAAAGCTGCAAGAGAAGGAAATATAAAACAACTTTACGATACAACGAAGAAAGTAGCAGGGAAATACAGTAAACCAGAGAGGCCGGTCAAAGACAAGGAAGGCAAGCCAATCACCGAAATTCAACAACAGCGTAACAGATGGGTAGAATACTTCGAGGAACTCCTGAATAGGCCGGCTCCAATTAATCCAGTGGACATCGAAGCAGCACACATAGATCTTCCTATAGATGTCAATCCACCAACGACGGAAGAAATTAGAATGGCCGTCAGACAAATCAAGAACGGGAAAGCAGCAGGACCCGACAATATACCAGCTGAAGCACTGAAATCAGACATCGAAGCAACCACAAGCATGCTTTATCTTCTATTCAAAAAGATTTGGGAGGAGGAACAAGTGCCGATGGACTGGAAAGAAGGACACCTCGT